TATTTATTTTAATAAAGGAACGTTACGAGGGCTTCGAGCATACAAATTATGATCTCGTAACCTCCTTCTCACAGCATGATCACCGCCCGCTGAATTTAATTCTTCGCGTACTCTACAGCAGACATTGTTGGTGGAGTTTTGGCATACCTGACAATATTTCGTTCGGCAACTTCTGGAAGAATCCGACTGCGACTTATGTTTTCTTGTTGTTTTTTATCAAGTCAAATTTTATGTAACGAATGCCCTCTACTATTTTATTGGTCGCAGCTGTATATATGTAGACATATATTTATATATTATACATACATGTATGTATGTATGTATGTATATAAAATTGTGTTCGTGAATTTGGTCGATCGACAATTAACTATAAACAATAATTTTTTTTGCATATTTTTGCTTTGAAAATTTCACGTTTTATAGCAAAATCTGATATGAGTTATCAAGCCATGCATACACCACTATGTACATATATAAATATACTCATACATACACATGTACATACACACATATGCACATATATTCACACATGTGTATTTAAAACTCAACACATGTAACATACATATGTACACTAGGAAGCGGCGATTTATATCTTGAGCATGACGACTTTGTTGTAGCTGTTGTGCGCGGTTGATGACGACGATAAATTTTGTTTTATTTACTACTGCCATTTCTGCAGGTAAACTTGCACACGTATTTATATACATTCATATATGCAAGTTTGCTTCAATATTTGCACATTTCTATTAAAAAAGACATTTTAATTTAAAATTAATTTTGTATATGTTTATTAATACATATTAATTATTTGTTTTTTAGTATATTTATTAATATTTATTTATTAATATGCACATTTATTTTATATTTAGTTAATATTTATTTATAACTGTTATCACATATTTGTCATATTCTACTTTATCACTCGCACTTGTTTTCGTGAATTTCGCCATAACAATGCATAATTTTCTGATCAGCGCATATTTTCTAGCTCGAATTTCAGTTCGTAAACAAATTTTTTATTTTAGCCAAAAACACTCACAGTGCATCTGAATGCACGAGAAACAGACACACAAACACAGGCACACAACCAAAGCAACGATAACTGCAGTTGCACTTCATTCGTTTTGCTGCAGCGACAACTTTGACATTTGCGCTGATATTGCGAATTTTTGTTATTATTTGTGTAACAAATCAGTAGCAAGATATTCGTGAATAAATGGAGCTACTAAAAAACAACAACACGTGTCTTTTTTAAAAAGTGTCGTTGCTTGGGCGATATTCAGCTTATGAAACAACCACAAAGGATAAAGGCTATAAGTTATAATAAGGAAATGATCAAAATATGCTCGTAGTTATTCTTTTGCAATTTTTTCACGGCACCACCCAGTCCGGTTAGCGCTGTTGTACCAGTTTTATATTGTAGTTGTATATTTTTTACACCTTTTCTGTGTTTTACTTTCTGGTTTAGTACCTAGTGCCATAAAATTTAATGCCTTCACTCACTCAGTCACTCACGTATTTTTTCTTTGTCACTTTATTGTGTCAGCATGCTCTGAAGTGTGTTTTTTATTTAAACTTTCCTCTTCTTTAATTTTTGCAACTCTTGTGGTGTATTTTTTTCATTTGCTACGCATTTATCTGCGGACTTTGATTATGGTGGCCAAAATACTTAAAAACAGGAACAAACCAGCCATCGACGGCGCTGGTAACGCATCAGCAATACAAACAAGTTCATTATTCTTCTCTTACTTGTTGTTTTGCGTTTTGTTTCACTTCACTTTTGTTGTTTTATTCCACCTTTGTCTGCTGGCTGGTTCTGGCCCGGCGGCGACAACTTATTTATTGCTCACTCACTCACACATTTGTTTGGTCACTAACAACCACTTACTTGTGTTTTCACTGCCTGCCAGTTGTTTGCAGACGTCCGCTTATCGCCCGACGATCGAACAAACGCGAATAAGCCAAATTGTAGACTGATTTGAAGCGTCGCATCGTAAATGGCAGAAACCGCTCAGCGCTGATCGCACCTCACTAACTTGTTCATTTGTTGTCGTCGGCACTCTGCTCAACCACCACTGCCTCGACAATTGACAAGTACTCAGCGCCGAGCAAGCAGTGGCCTCTTATGGTAGTATGCATTCGAATATGTAGAGGTGGGAGCAGATGAATAGAGATCAGGGCCAAACGTTTGCTACCAGTTTGTTTTGTACCTCTCACTTCTAAACGCATTTATATGCATACATATGGATATTCTCAAAAGATCTCCCTGCCGGACTTTTTTTTCATATACTTGCTTCAAAACCCGGATATTCCAGTCAGATGAATCTACTATCTTGATATTATAAAGCAAAATTAGTTTAGTATAGATAGTTGAAGCAGTATATTTGAATACTACAAAAATTAGCCCAGCTGTAGTTGGCCGACTGCTTAGCATTTAAAATATACTCTAATGAAAGTAATATTTCCAAGAGTTTTTGTACTTTAAATATATTCTAGGCAGTCTATTACTATCTTAAACGAAATCCAAATATCCTACATAATCTGTGTTAAAACGTTGATCGAACTTATGAAATAAAGAAAACCGGAAGGAATTTTTATACTTAATGGAAATGACCACAGTTGAGTACTTTTTTAATACATATTATACTCGTATATAGGTACATATGTGAAACATATATTATACAACAGCTTCAAAAGAGTAAAGAAAGTCGTAAAAACTACGACTTATTTTCATTTTGAGACTATAATAAAAATCTAGTATAGTCTAGGCTAAGTCTATCGGTTATACTTCACTCTCGAAACGGTTTCAATGAAGTTTCATTTTTTTGTGATGGACTTTTCAATACGCTGGAACTTTCCATCGAGGGTTTGTATGATCATATACGAAAAGTTGTGACAAAAAGCTGGTATCTGATAAGTAAACGCAACATTCACTCACCAGCGATCTCTCCCGCTCTCATTGAATGAAAGAGCATATTGCCGCTCAGTTCCTTCACATATTCTTGTGTTATTACCAATAACCGCCGGTGGCAATTGGATATATCATTCATTATACCTGTTATCTCTTAGTACCAACAAACACAGACATTCCCTGTATATGAGTATACCCTCATTCATTTGTGAGTGCACTGCACCTACATTCAACTCATGCTGACCGTCTGCTATTCATTCATGAAAACTGTGCAATATCTATATGTTTATAGAAAGTGGTAAACATTTTGTGTACGTTGAATTATGCCGGCTGTTCGTTTTATTGTCGTCTCTTAGTGTTGAACTTTTTAGTTTCGAGCAAAATGTGTTGACCAGCGAGCGAAAGTACTGCATGCAATTCTTGATTTTTCGAATCACCTGTTGATTTGCTTAGCAACATTTGTTGAGAAACCAACAGTTGATGAGTTTTGAAAGCACTGAATTAATACGTATGCATTATTGTAGTCGGTTTAGTAATTGTAACTCAAGAACGACTGAATTTCCGCCCTGTATGGCAGAATAGTTATTACAATATATTAAAGTATCGGAAAGATTCCCTTAATGTAAATAATCTAGGAAGTTTAAAAGAAACTAAAGTAAAAATGCCAGTAATTGTGTTATCAGTCTCCTTATCAATTCCTTTGTTAGAGGATGCAAGCCAACATTTAACTAATAGGTATACTATTGTATTAATGCATCCAAGCCCAAACAAATGTTAGACGAATTTTGATCTATATATTTTTGTAAGTAGCAGTGTCATTGCTACGATAAGATTGAATATCAAGAACAAAATATATAATAATTTCAACTAAATCGTACAAAAAATACCAAAAACTGCATGAAATGAAACTACAAGCGTCGGTGTACAAATTGTCATCACTATTCTGACCAATACGTGAACTATGTTTATAATATTAAATTAAACAAACTGCACATCATCAAGATGAGTGAGTATCGATTTGAAACTTGTAAATTTTTTCGGATGGCAAGTGATGTCAAAGTTTCGAGTGAATCTCTTCATTCACTCTTAAAACATCTTTTAAAATTTTCTCTTCTTTTACAAAATTTTGAATTAAAAATATTGCATTTTTTTTTACTTCACTTTTACTTGGAGCACAAGGTATACTTTAAAACATTCTTATTTAATGACGCTTAGCTCTGATTTTATTAATTTGGAAATGATATCACACCACTTTCAAAAAAATAGCATACAATTTTACAAGTTTAAAATTTTTTCAACCCACATATTGCTGCAGTTTGCTGCTTAAGTCTTTTGTTTCAATACTTGCCATATAAAGCGAATTATTAGCCTGTAAGTCAATACGATACATGAGGACTAGTAAAAATAAATCCAATATTTTTAAATTAAATTGAAGATTTTATTGAGCAGAATTAGATTTATCTGAATTTATCATTTTGAAGGTAATTTCATAATGCTACTCTCATAGAAACCTTCGTCCATATTGGAAAAAACTAGGATATTCTATTTTATAATATTCTCTTGAGGCGAATTTTTGACCAGCTAAATCATTCGCCATGGACAGCAACAGATAATAAGCACTCGTTTCGAGTTCCGTAGTATTGGGTAGATGCATAAGAACATCCTAACTAAACTCCCGAAGCTTCTGGCGGGCCACTTTCGATGTGAGTGACCTGGCGCTGTTCTAATAGAGCACAATTCTTCCTTCAGATGGTCCAATTGTTGACAGTACCTGTCCGAATTAAATGTTTGACCGTAGGCGAGCAGCTCATAGTAGATGATTATCATTTGATATCTAGTCGGTAAACGGTTTCAAATGGTTTTGTGCCATTTTTAGCTCCTGAGTAATCGAAGCACGTCTTAAATGATGTGACAACTGCTCTTCCAGATCGTGGTGCATCTTCAACATCAAAATTACCGGAACGAAGTAGACAAAACCAAAATTGTGCGTGATTTTAGCTTTCTAATATAGCAAAACTCATCTAACTCGTACTTACACAACACGAGATACTGAATCCTAAAGCCATCTATGAAAAAATAATATAATGGATTTCTTTTTACTAGGCCTAATATGTATTTCAGACTAGAATTATAGCTCCAAATGTTTTTTCCTTACAATAAAGTCAAAGTGTGTGAACAACATTTATCCAGTTAGAAGAAGATTTTAAAGCCATATTGTTTGTGCGAATTTCAATAAGCGTTAAAATATTCTTTTACATATTGTACTAAACGAATAAAAAACCGTTGCTTCTATATATTCCCAATTACAGTATTTTTTGTTAATTTTCAAAACATGATGTTCTTTACAGCTACATATTATAATAGGGACTTTTAATTTTTCCAAAAAGTGTTTCAAAATCTTCCTTGGCCATTTTATATTTACAAATAAAGTTATCTACATTAAAGATATGAAGCTGATATTTTTTCTACAAATGCTATGTACTCCTGCTTGGCGACATCTTGTGATTTGCCCTTTTGCTTGTTCCAGAACTCCCATTTGGCTTTGCCTTTCAGGTCAAGCATACCGGGCTTAGATGTGTTATTATCACCGACGGTGGCTTGTTTAAAGAGCGCGTACAATTTCAGCAGCTCCTCGTCGGTGGGACGTTTGGTGAAGGTTTTCGCCTTTTCAGCAGCGGCATTGAATTTCTGCAATAAAAACAATATCACAATTTTATGATATCGAAAATTAATGTATAAAACTATGTAATTACCTCATCCAGCGACATCTTGTAGTTATCTTTTAATTAATTTTCTGAAAGGAGGAGATAATAATTTTTTCGTATTTTATATGGAATAAGTGAGGCAATCGTTAAAATATCACCTTGAAGTGGTAATAATAAATGTAAATAGAATGGAATATGATAGCAGGATAATAAAAATCTGTTCACACAATGACATACAAAAATTTATCGCACACATATACTTGGCTAAACACTCAAATGATTAGTCTGTAGCCTTGCCCGTGGTGAAGCTTGACCTACAAATGAAGCCTGTTTTCAACAGGAAATATCTCATTTACTTTTGTGTAAACTTCTCAAGGAGAGACAGATTGTAGTTTTATATATTTCTGTACAAGGATATATACATATTCACGTCGATAGTTATTACAGTCTGACCTTAAAAGTAACCAATTTCATCAAAAAAACCAATTTGATTAAATTTTTTATTTTTATTGCTATCCGTGTTTCTTTTGCATATAATCCGTACATTGCATCTGCTCATAGGCTTGGACAAAAGAAACTTCTTAGGTTTCTTTGGATCGTGCTTTCTGTCATTTTTATACCCTGAATAGGGTATATTAAGTTTGCCAAGATGTTTGCAACACCCAAACGGAAACGGCGGAGACCCTTTAAAGTATACTTATATGTATATTATATAAATGATCAGCGTGATAAGCTGAGTCGATTTAGTCATGTTTGTCAGTCTGTCAGTTTTTGAGGTATCGGTCTGAAATTTTGCACATATCCTTTTTTCACCAAGAAGCTGCTCATTTGTCTGAACCGCTGATATCGGACAACTATATCATATAGCTGTCATACAACTGGCCGATCAAATTCAAGTCCTTGTAAGCAAAAATCTTTTATTTGTCAAAGGTATCTTCATGAAATTTGGCATATATTATTATCCAAAGTATCGCTACAACCTTCAAACACATTCTTCAGATCGGACGACTATATGCTATACAACTGACCGATCAAACTCAAGTCCTAGTATGGAAAACTATTTTTTTGTCAAAGGTATCTTCGAGAAATTTGGCATAGACTGTTATCCAAGACTTCGCTAAAATCTTCGAATATATTGCTCAGATCGAACCACTGTAGCTTATAGCTATCATTTAAACTGACTGATTAAAATCAGACTTAAGACTTTGTATAAGCTTTTACGCTATACAAAAATGCACCTGTGAAGGGAATTTTAGCTTCGCTGCAGCCGAAGTTAACGCTTTTTCTTGTTAAATAAATTATTTACTTCATTTCTTCCTTACCAACTTTGCTAGTGACCAACGAGGTAAAGGTTTTACAACCTAATCTGATTGGTAAGTTATCATGCGGTAGATATTGGTATATTGTATTATAATAATAATAATGCAAGAATAGCTCAATCACTTTTGTTTAAATTTTCTTGTCTTTGTTCTTAAAAGACTCTGCAAATATAACATTGGAACGAGCAGGAATTCGAGATGGATCGTTCAATCTAGCAGAATAACGGCGGGGCTGGTTTCTTAAGATTTTTTATAGAGATTCTAGATATAAAAAAATTAACTTATATAAGGGCTGATTATGGACAAGTAAGCGTGCTCTCTGCTGTTTTTACATATAAGGATTGACTATTTATAAATATATTTAGAGACTGAGAAAGCGCTGTATAGGGTAGAATACAAATTGTTGCTGGTGGAGAAGAGTTCAGTTGTACCAAAAATTTTGGAAAAGTTCACTTATCTAAACATAAAAATATGCCAAAAGTGTTTTTGGAGAGATCCTCATTCAAACTTGTTTTGAAGTAGAGAAGAAATAAAAAAATTTAAAGAATCAATAATTAGAATGAATAGAGGCTTATTAGTTACTAAAAAAAATATGCATAAATATGATTGCACTTGGATTTAGTGTTTGTTTTATTTTCTATGGTTAGCTCTTCATTTTTTAGTTTCACTTTCCGCTGTATGTAACAGTCTGTCTTCTCTTAAATCATTGCATTTCCCATTAATTCAAAGTCTATTGCTTTGTGACCAACAGTAGCAGTATAAAACATAAATATGTAAGCTTATATAGAAACGCACACATACCATGTATATATATATATATATATATAAACGTGTGTAACTATATATTACGGCAAAACTTTCTCTAAGAAATAATTCAATTTGATTACGGCATTCAAGTGTCCAATTGTAAGCGCGCTATGTACGAGCGATTTTTGTTGTGGCACAGTGTGCCGAAGCGACTAAAATTATTAAATAAAATGGAAATAATTCAGATAACCATTTTGCAAGTTCTTGAATTTTCAATTGAGATTTTTTTAATTTATGATTTTACGTTTAATTTTTTTGGGTTAACGTCGCCGATATCAGACCACTATAGCATATACTCATATGTTAGCTGTCATTAAAACTGGCCGATCAGAATCAAGATTAAGAACTCTTTATACTCTTTTATGTTACAAGAAATGCCGCTGTGAAGGATGTTATGGTTTTTTCTTGCGCGAGCATTGCGACGGTTACAAAGTACGATGTTCGAATTTTCATTAGCACCCAAACACTGTGCAACGTATGTAATTAAATTGAGTCCAAAACTCTGATCGGCGTGCTATTGCTTTATTCTGTTATTGTATTTGTATTAATTTTTATTACAGCTACATGACGAGCAATATTATATTACTTGCGGCTATGATTGTGAGTAAATTCAAAACAATTTTGCAAGTTTAGTTTTATTATTCATGGTGAAGCGCGGTTTGTCCAAACCTTTCGTTAAATCAGCAGTATGATCAAAAGAAATACTAACAAAATATGTATGAATTTAAAAAGTACGATTGGCTACCGGTTTTTGGCGATTGTAATGTGTACTTGTTAAGTCAACTGTTCGGAAAATGTAGAATAAAAACACGAAATATGATATATCTTCGCACAGTTAAATCTCTATAATTTGCTAAGTATTTTATTAGAGTTAACGATTTATGCCAAGCAAAATGGAGCAAAAATAAAAAGAACGAGTTCAAAAGAGTAAAGAGGAACTTAATGGGCCAATAGTAAACTGCAATATTCATTTTTATACAAATTGGGGTTAAATTACAACAGAAATTGCGCACAGGTTGGTGAGGGTAAATGAAATCATCTAAAAAAAGTAAAATAAATGAACGAAATAAGACAATATCAAAAAAAGTAAAATTAAATTAAATTACAAAACATAAAATAAAAAACTAAATAAAGTTTAAGTAATTTAAACTGATTTATTTTAAATTAAATTAAATTACAAAAAATAAAATAAAGGAAAGTTGAGGAAGTTGCACATATAATAGAGTGAGTATATTTTAGTTCCGATGGATTCACAATGGGCTTCCTAAAGGCCTAGGGCGTCGTCAAACATCCCCCTTACTAACTATCTAAATTATATTTGTCTGATATAATTTTTTATCTTTGAACGGGCCATTTTTAAATCAAAAGTAAATTCGTATATGATTATGTGATATTATAGTTTTTAACGGCAATTAACGATTTTTCAATTAAACTATAACTTAAAATCTTACATTTGCTAAAACCAAACAAAATACATCAGTTAATTATATGATTTAAAAAAGTATTTCACTAAAACTAATTTAATAAGATCTAAATAAAGAAGAATCGCATGACATTTAGTCTAAATCAAGATCATGTCAGCAACAAGGTTAAAACTTGAAGTATTCCGCGTTTATTTCATTACACAGCTTTTCAATTTATTACTTCACCATAGTTAAAAAAAAAACTGTGTAAGTGTCTGCTTTAAAAAAATGTCAAAAGCACGTACTTAACGTTTAAATAAATAAATAAATCAGCAAAGACACGTCTTCTTAAGACGTACGTACATTCATATGTATTACCAACTTCTTTAGTAGTATTGTATAAAAAACTCTATTAAGTCTGTTTCCGAATTTCGAAATAAATAAAAATATTATTTCGGTTAAATCGTAAACTTTTTTATGAGGTCATAATTGGTTAATTGGATATTTACAGTGCAATGCAGACATGTTAAAGTTAAAAAATAATTTTTATTTTTTTCAATTGAATTAATAGAGTTGAATTTCGTACGCTCGTGTGCATTTCAAACCTGTGCAGAAAAACGAACGTGAGTACAGAGTACATAGCTAATGTGAAACAGGGAAAATTAGAAGAGGTAAACATGGATAGGCAAGCTTACTAAACAAGCACAAATAGGTATTACACACATAAGTATGTGAGTTCGTACTTGAGCACAAAAAACCCTACTAAAATATCGCGCGAAGTAGGGTTCAAAGTTTCGTGCTTCTAAAACAAACCAAAGCGGAGCGCATTAGCAAGTTGTCGAAGCGGGCAAATTTAAATATTTAATAAATTCTCGAATACAATATATGTAGATGCGATATATGTTAGTCACAAAGTGACTGTTGTGTTTGTAAATGAAGCCTCTTATAAAAGTCCAGGAAAATAGTTATTCGTCACATTATTTAACTTACGAGTTCGTATATTTGTGTATATATAATATTTAACAAATGCAATTTAAACCACTTTATTGCATACGCAACATCGCGCTAGCACATGCAAAGAAACCCACAAATAACCTCTGCACTCGAATTAATACTTGTCAGCGTATCGTTTGCGCCGTTTACTCTTATACTTATCTCGTATGATTTCGAAAACGTACAGGTATATTTATTATAACTTATTTGCAACAAACTTACACGATCAACGTTCCACGCGAATGGCGAATTACAGTCTGAATTCGAAGCGCGAACATTTGTTGAATTTAACAACAATTGGTTGACGCGATCAGCTGTGCTGAAAGCTTCACGGTTGACTCACTCGAAAGCTCCACTCGATGTTGGGGACCACATATTCAGTTACGTGCACCAATAGTGGAGTAGGTAAGTGTTTGCGTAGTGTATGATTGATTTTGAGCTTTTGATGCGCTTGCACTGGCGAATATTTCGAGGATTACGTGTGTTTTACCGGCACGTAGCTCATGTTATATACACATATTTAATTATAGTCGTACATGTACTTCTATACACTTGTTTTAATATTATCGTTTCAAGCAATACACGATTTAAGTTTAATCTAATAATCTAATGCACTCACTGGAGTTTATTGCTTGCAAGTTAAAGTACTTGGGTGGTAAATAGTTCATACAGTTCAATTAGCCGGTAGCAGGGTGCAAAACAGTCATGTGACACCGCTGGTGATTCCACACTACACAACCTTGTAATGTATTTAAACTGAAAATTCAGTAGAAAAGTAAGCCATTAGAGGCAGACTTTTGTAAAAACAATAAAAAACGGGAACTTCGATTGCACCGCTTAGCTATAAAATCCTTCACAAATACAACAGATTCCTTACTACAGTGGTCCGATATCAGTTCCGATATCGTTCCGACGAATGAGCAGCTTATTGGGAAGAAGATGAGGTTTGCAAAATTTTAACTCAACATCTCAAAAACTGAGGGAGTAGTTCGAGTATATACAGACAGACGGACAGATGAACATGCCATAATCTAATCAGTTCCTCAAGCTGATCATTTGGGTGTTACAAACATCGTGGCCCTATTTAGGATATTTCTTTATTGATTTTTATCATAACATTTTTAATTCTGGACTTTCCTAAATACATTTTTCCTTATTTTGGTTAGAAAAAAAATCGAAATAAAATTCGGTATAGAGAGATTAAAAACGCATAATTAAATTGTAGTATAGAAAAGCTTGATTAATGGAATGCGTTGTAAGGAGATCAAAATATTATGACAATTTAATTAAGTTGCAGTGCTATGGAAATTAATTCGTTATAAAAAACTTCGTTGTACAGAAGATCGAAGAGAAGTTCGACTGTAATAACAATTAGAATAACATTCTACGATTACGTTAGTCAGGTTCCTTTAATCAATTATTGAATTTTTATATTCAATTCATTTAACTTTCACTATAATTTTATTACTCTAAAGGAATATCCAAAATCATAATTGCATGTATAGGTCAATATAGTACGTGTTTCCCAGAAGATAAAAATTCCACCAAGTGGAAATATTTGGTTCGTCAAGAGTGTTAAAAAAGTATCTTGATTGTTTTATTTAAATATATGTATTAAAATCACCCTTATTCCCCTCTTCAGTGTTCATTTCACTGGCAGTTTACCTGAGCAGGGGTATCTTACTAAAGCCTTTCAAGGGCATGCATTTCAAAGATCTCCATATTGCAGCACTGAAGGTTTTTATCGTCATAAAAAAAACTTAAGATCTCAATAAAGATCTTCACATTATTTTTGAAATTTTTATTTTTACATGCTTAACCCTAATTAAAGCAGTTAATGTAAGGGTAGATGCAACTCTATGTATTTTTACCTTTTATATAAAGATTAAAATACCATTCACTAATGCTATAAGTAGTAACTTACTCTTATATTTTATATTACATGCAATTACTAATTACATGGCAATAAAATTAAATAATATTTACAGATTAACATAAATAGTCTTTAGCACAGGGATTTTAAAAGTAAATAGGTGAGTATTTCTCTTAAACCTGGATGTAGGCTTCCTGGGCGGCAGCTTGTGAGTGACCCTTGCGGGAGTTCCATGCGTCCCACATGGCCTTGCACTTTAAATCCAAAGCGCCTGGCTTCTCAACGTTGATATCACCAATAGTAGCCTGCTTGAAGAGATCGTAGAATTCCAAGATTCGGAGTCAGTGAGGTTTTGAAAAGAGGTTCTTATGTGAAACGTTTCTTTAAACTAAAATCATGAAAAAAGTAATGAGAAAACAAAAGATATATCTATAGTTCACGCCCACTTACAGAGACCATTGTATAGCCATATATAAATGGTTGTTCACGTAAATGTTGTAGAAATCAAATAACTCCAAACTATTTGCGAGAGCTTTTTTAAACTCTTTTTTTTTTTAAAAACTTACTCAAGATTTAAAGTAAATAAAAACAATAGTGAATAAGCATTTATTTGAAGATATTCTGTGAAAATTGATTAGATGTCGTTGAGATAGTCAATAATATTTTGTGAGAAAGTAATTTTTGTAGTTTTGTGTTAACTATTAGTGTAGCAGGGATGTAATTTTGGCTGATATTTATATTTGAATGTATAACTAGGGAAACAGTTTTAAGTAGTGTGGTAAGTCACTACCGAGCATCGTATTAAAGAAATAATTTGCTTTATTCAAATATTATAGATATATATTATGGAGAATGCACATTTATGTGCATGGAAATGTGCGCATTTATGTGTTGCATACTCTTAGGCGTCACCGAAAAGAACCACTGCTTGTTTATATTACAATTTTGCATTTGTGAGAGAGGCGCGATGCGTATAGCGTACGTAATACGGTTTTTGTTGAAGATAAATGCCAAAAAGTCTTTTGATACCGCATAGGGAACATTCAGTTTAGCATCTGAAGAAGGCATAGACTCGAAATTTACCTTACCATAAGTTCAACCTTAAGTAAGGAAGGATGCGTACGAATATTTTATACTCTTGCAATTTGCAAGGATCAAAGAGGAAATATTTTCTAATGTTTGTAAAACTTAATAGTAAAACATGTAGGAAAGAAATTCAATATTCGTCATTCGACGAAATAGTGAATGGATTACAATATTATCTCCATCACTTATGTTGGAGGTAATGGACTTAATTAGCTTTTTTTTACATATTGTTTAACATCTTAAATATTTATATTCAAATTAACCAAACTAACATATTAGTGTGTGGCGTATCAATAATCGAAATATTCTTTTCTTGACATAGCTTTTATTGAGATATAGGTGATATTAACTGAACCAACGAGACGATATTTAATGTATTCGATACATGATCTAGACCAATTTCATGCATATTCACCCATTTTCGCCACCAATAATATAGTATAATCAGTATTGTACGTTCACTTAGTTTTACTACGATATGTCGCGTATTGATCGATATAAGCAGAATAAAGTCAACCAGAAGTTTTAAAATCCTTATACTAAATATGGGGGCTAGGGATCTTCTAGCAATTTTTAGCATTATATTATCATGGAAAAAGGCCCTCTGAACCTCTTAACCAATATATACGATATAAAGTGAATTGGATGATATAAAATCCGTGTAATATGTATTCGGTTTCTAGGAGCTTGACAAGTTCGGAAGCAAAGTTTTGTGCATTATGTTATTCCGATATCAATATTGGTGCCTGAGTTATATACTTTAAAGGGAAAGAATCAGAATGTTGGAATCAAGAATTGTGTTATTTTTACACCGACTGCAACTCTTCATTGCCATATGTATTGTGAACTTTAGTGTTTTCAACGTTTTTCTTCAGCGTGCTACCACACCTTTAGTAGTTTTCCACATTATCTCTGTATGAAAGGTGGGCGTGGTTATTCTCCGATTTCTCCCATTTTCACACTGACTGATATAACATAAAAATTTTTTTGCTTCCAATATACCAAGCTCCTCAAAGTGTCAATAAATAAATAAATTCTTCAAGATTCTTAATTTTGACTTAAGTTATGGCTTGGACGGACTGACGGATAGATAGATACACATCATCTAGATATTTTTAATTGTATGTCCATCTCGTTTAGTTTCATATTTCGAGAAGTAAAAAATGTTGCATATAAATTCAGTATGTATTGTATATTCAATATATTGGATATAACTATGAGATAAATCAACCGGAGTGGCGAAGACGAAAATCATTACAAATGTATATGAGGGCTAATTCATGGACCAATTTCACAATTTTTCGCGTTTAATAGTATGTCCATGTTTATACGTTTACTTAATTTTGCTAAACGCAACAGACCCTGAGTTAAATACATTCGCCATCGGCGCAATAGTGGACAGTACCGTGTCCATTGATCAATTTTTTTACCGATTCACCCGTATTCCGTCTGTACTATAATTACTGTAAAATTCAATGTGTTGACTATTGTCGTCAGATAGTTATCGCACTTTTAGTAGTTTTCATCCTTAGTATGGTGAGTGGGCGTGGTTAATATCCAATTTCATCGATTTTAAATTTTAGATTTGATATGTGTAAAATCATGCTGGGAGCGTGAAATATTAAAGAAAGATTTTCTTGCTTAAGGAACTAGACTTAAGCAAGAAAATCTAATTAAAAAATATATGTACATAAATCTAAATAAATAAATTGCGCACGTGACAAAGACCATAATATAACATAATGATAATAACAATACCATTTCGAAAAGCTGAGCCGTAGGCCCTGGCAGCCAGTGTTCTCTCTTTTAGATATTATATTTGTATACTATATCTAAATTGAATAAATAAAAAATAAAATATTAAAGAAAGTCAAATGCATCAACTGAGAAAATAAGTGGGGGTCAAGCGATGCTAGTTATTCTGCTATTATTACACGAATTATTCGGGTTGTCGAAAGAGGGTATAAGCGTTTAATGGGATCATTTCGTTATCCACTTTTGAATCGATATGTTAAGTGAAAATCTTCCGCTTAAATTTGTTAGGATAACTTACATACTGGTTGATTTATTTCAAATAAAATTAACTAGATGATGGAAATAGATACATATGCATATATAAAGTAATAATCAACCCGAGAGACAGAAATAATTTTAGGGACATAAGCTTCGACTCAGCTTTATTGTTATATTTTTCATTCCGTCAACGAAAATTATTCTCAAATCATCCTCAAATGAGTTATACCTTGCATAAACTTAACCGAAGAAGCTAAATTTAATCTATTAAGTTGAGGTGTCAAACGTCAACCAGAAGATCGGAATTGAAGATATTAGGGATGTGAGATTAAGACCAAGGTCTAGACCAACTCCATTCATGTTCAGCGCTAAACCATAAATATAATAAAGTTTGGCATTCAAATAAAGTATATCCAATATTATACGTTCAGTTAATTTTGCTAAAATATCTTACATATTGGCCGTTATATAGTAGATCTAATCGGTATAAGGCCAATCAGAAGTTTAAAAATCTTTTATTAGGTATATGGAAGATAGGTGTATTTATGAAGTAAGTTCATGTTTGTATATCTTGATATAAGTTGATGTAATTAAGCTAGTGCAAGTTTTCAACCGATTTTGAACATTTTACGTTCATAGATGTACTGTTAAGAGAAAAACCCGCTCGTCGAGCCAAAAAATATCGGTAACGCGTCTATATTGCAACCTCAGAGGTGGTGAGGAAAAGCAATAAATATATAATAATCTTTTGTTTCGAAAATATTCTTGAAAGTTTTCATTATTATTTGCATTACAAATACATGTTCATAAACAAATTGTTAAACTACATCCTTTTATTTAAAACTCTGTCTCAAAAAAAGGCATATTCGATCAGGTGATCACGGCTGTATCACACACATAGGAAAACAGCTGATTCTTTGGCTACTTGTAGGCTTATACAATGGGTGCGTGCCGTAGGTATGCGCGGGCGACCGGAGTGATAAGCGCCGCCGCCCGCGCCCGCGCCCATTACATGTCTTCGCGCCTCCCTAGTGGGGCGCGCCCCCTAGTTTGAAAATCAATGCTCTAAAGGGTCTCCGACGTCTCCTTCTGGGTGTTACAAACTTCGTGGCAAACTTAATATACCCTGTTCAGGGTATAATTAAATGAACATATAATACTGGATGTACAATACTATAAATGTATGTATATGTATTTAAGGCCAAAAATTCTGGAAATCGATCTACAAATTACCCCTGCACCCAGCTCCAGCTATTCTACATATAATGATTTTCGTTATTCTAGCAGACTTTGATCCGAACATTTCGGTCAGTGTGTGAATTATATTCACAAAATTGCGATTAAACATGTTCTCGAGTATATTCGAATAATGTCAGAAGTTAAAGCAATCAGTCCTGAAATTCCACAAGCCCCAATGGGGTATCATATAGTGATTTGCAGCTGACTTTAAGCCGTTTAGGATCAGGTGGTTTATGATAGTTGAAAATTGCGAGAGTAAATATGTTCCGTTACATCCGAAATTGGCTTGTTATTTATAAGTTAAAGCCTATAAAGAAATAGTGAAATTAACTTGTTTAGTGATCCTGATCCAGAACTCACTAAGAAAAGATTTTGAAAACAAATTTTAAAATTGATATTTGGTAGAATATCATTTATTTTTAATTTCGTCCATTTAACGGGCTTTGTTTGGGCATAAATCCTCCCAAATAGTGACCGTATTATTTGGTTCATAACTGTAAATGTATAATTTAATAAAAACAAAAAAACACGCGCACATTTATCCAATCATAACATTTTATTCGAATAGGTCGTCTTTAAAACATACTTTTGGGCACAAGAGTTTTGCGACTAATACAATATCAACACATGAAATTCAAACATTCGCTTCCGATTGCGGCATGGCGATCACAGCGGCGATCAACGGTTTCGTTTGGCGCGCTTTCAACAGCATAACGCGTATTTGCGAATTTTCTATCGTCAGTGTATGTGGAGGTAACTTAAGATTTGGATCCAATACCGCTACGATCTCAAAGTCGATTTTCAGAGGCACCCCAGGCAATATGCTAGGCAGCTGTGGACGAGAGAAAATAGTGAAATATGGCGATTAGATATATAGATAATATTTGATTTTTATTAAGAGAATGTTTTGAGTTCTCACCTTGGCCATTGATTTGTTTAAGGTGTAGTGACGACGATCGGCGTGGAGCAGCACAGTTAGGTTCGATGCCATTTTGTAGCTTGACATGTTCTGTATAGTTAGATAAAGTCGAAACTCCGGACCAACCCCACATACCTCCGCAGAAAGTTTGACAGGTGCATGTGTTATATCACCAGAAATTGTGCTTTCCGACGAGTTGATGGCGTCGACAGTGGCACGGGCAGCTACGTAACGTAAACGCCATAGCTCGGCTTGAAAAGCGCCATAAGTTGCTTTGAATAAAGAAGGAAAACTTTTATTGTATATACATATATATATATATACAAGTATATATCGTATATACTAAGTTATGATGAATACAAGGTGTGTGAAATTTCCCTCAGGTTGGTTTAACCCTAATTTAGACGTTCCTGGGGTAAATATTTCTTATTTTTGAGTTCAAAAATTTTTTTTAAAGTGAAATAAGCAAATAGAGTGCGAAGGATACTTTCAAATAGCTACTTAAAAATTTAATCGTGTTAGAGCATGGTTGCGATAATTTTTCTTTCGCAATATAAACAGGGAAAACATTGAGATTCACTTACTCTTGGCATTTTGTTTTTCCCTCGCTGCTTGTTCAACAAATATCGAACTTTTCTTCGACTTTTCCAAAATCGTTTCAACCATCATCTTACTCTCGACATTTTCCTTAAGTGCAAGCAACTCACTCGGGTCAAATGCAGCTGTTCGTTTTAGAATTTTCACGAATATCTCACCCTCAACACTAACCATATTCAGCACGTAATCTTCGTGGCCGGTGCGTCCGAAGCACATCGCGCCAATTGTGGATACCATGTGGAACTCATTTACCAAATAACGTTGCAAGTACAACTGCACCAGACCACCTTCCAACGCTACACAGCAGAGTGTGAGTCCCAGATGAGGCAGTGTAATTGGAATCATACACATCGGTAGAGCGGGAAGCTTGTTAACATACAATTGCTTGCCTTTCTTCGAATAACAAACAAGACGACAATCCATGGCACACACCGTTATCGTTTGATCTATTGGCAACAACATTAATCCGGTAAAGGGATGAGATATTTTAAATATCTCCTGACCCTCCTTAGCCGACTTACGTAGGAGATATACACCGCCGTAGCGTGTGGCGATTACTACGCGAAAATCGGTTTCATATGTGCCATGTACGGCAATCATGGAGGGCACGGTCTCATAGCCACAGGTCTTTGCTTGATAAATTAAACCAAAACTTTGTGGCTCCAACACCAATATATCACCGTTATCGGTGGCAATAACTAAATGTGAAGGTGGATTCGCATCGCTGGAAATGCGTTGCAAGCAACCGAGTGCAACAATATTCGGGTGACGCATTACTGTTGCATCTGCATATTTCAAAATGTATTCCTGAAAAATATAGACAATTTTGAGAATACGCTTTTCTAAAGATATCAATTCAGCTCTACATTTTGTTCTTCTTGTGGCAATTGTATTAGTTTTTGCGACTTCCTTGACATCTTTGGGCGCTCAATGGACCTTAAGCTTTCGACTAAGGCGGGTTGCTGCTCTACGCGTACTGTAGGTAATTTGAGCCACAAATCTCTTTCTAACTCCTCCGCCTCTAAGCCGGGCACTGTGTATTTGAAATACGGTTTCATATTTCGAAAGAATAGCACCGATTCCGCGATGGCTACAGCAATAACTTCAATCATACATATACATACACATTTATAATTTAGTTTGTGTTTTTAAACTTTGCAGTTAAACTATTGTAATTCACACCTACTTGGAGTTTTTGGTTCCGACTCATCGCTGTAGAAGCTTTGTACAGCAGCTGGTATACCGTTGAGCTTCAACTCCGTATGCAACGAAGTGCCTCGAAAAATTTTCAAGGTCGCCGTGGGTTCATCGTCCAATGAGATGTCTGCCGCTATCAGTCGCACGTAATTGTCGCATTTAATGTCGCACAATGTCATGCAGCTGGTGACGGTGTTTAGACGCGGTCGTGGCTCGTCTTCGTCTACGATGACCTGTAGCCATTTCGTGTTGACGGACATACTTTCCAAGCTGCAGTAAGATTAAAATGTTATCAACTTCAAAATATATTTATAATGACTTAATGCCCAGCTATTGCCAACTTCTTTGATTTCTTTTGACCATGTAATTATTCAATCTTTGTTTTGATACAGATTTGTTTACCTTAGCAACGGAACGACACGTTTCCATGTTGCCACATTAGACAATTTTCTATACTTTAAAGGCGAGTAAAATTCGGTTACTAAATACAGAAGTATTAATAAAATAAAATAAATAAATAATCGTTTGCATGAGTTTTCAATTATCAGAGGGTTTTCATTTTGTCTTTATAAGAAGAAAATGCATAAGAAAAGTGAAGACGGCTTAAATTTACGCGAGATGGAAGTTTTAGTATGACAATATGAATTATTTGAGCTTATAATAAAGCAGAGATGTTTAAGTCAAAATCAAATTTGTAGATTATTAAGTATACTCGTTATTTATGCTTCACTACTTTCACGTTTTGAGTAGGTGCTAATACGTTCATACCATATTTTGAGATTAGCGCAACATCTTCACTGAGTTTTATTAAAGAGAAGAGAGAAAAAAAATTGCACTTGCATTGGTCAGATTTGATCCATTCCCGAAGCTTGTACAATGCTTGTATCACAATTCACAATTTTTATTGTTGGAGTGGTAGAAAATATTATTAAACTAGTTTTTAGGAATGTTGTCGAGTACAGGTCTATAAACCCAAAAATAATACAATATATTATTGAAAAAATCGTGTCACGGAATATTTATAAAGGAACAGAATTTTGAAGAAATACCTCGATAAAGGTCAAAAAAGAAATGTCGTCGTATCAGTCTGTTATCAGCAAATTGAATGGTAAGCGGTTTACAAAGTTTAAGAGTGGAAAGAAATAAAGAACGTAACCGCCGAAACTGAAACAATATGCAAACGCATTAAAATAACTTAAGTCCAATAAAGTCTAAATTTTCGTATCGCATTATTTACGGTGTAACACCACATTTTTCTTGAAACAACATTTATCGAATTTACTGCAGTGATTACTCGGAGATAACTGATCTAATCACTAGAAAGTTTTTCTGCATATTCTGTATATAGTTCGTCATACCATTATCCACCAGTTTTTTGATCTGATATGAAATTCGGCAGCTGAAAACAACCAAAGTTTTGGGTAAAATTCAACTTTTTTTAAACGTCGCAGTTTTGTCAATTTTTGATTTTTTTTCGACTGTAGGTCATTGTACCGACAATATGAAAGAGAAAGACCGAATAACCAACATATCGCGTTTGACTCGAAAATTATTTGAATATTACTGTGTATTCATAAATATGTATAAGTATATTCTTAAAAGTTTAAAATTCAGCAGTTTTTAACTTTTTAAGTTCACAAAAACCGTTCTTTTTTAGGCTCTCACACTAGGTTTGCCCCTTAAGCAGAGTTTATTCGAATTTCTTTTTCTCAAACTCTTACAAACTCATTCAAACGAACTTACTCAAAAATATTTACATATCTGCATGGTGACTACAATGGAATAAAATTAAGTTTGAGAAGGAGAGACATATTATTGTGTCGAAGAAAGCCTACTATTTTAAGAAGAATCGGAAGTAAAATGTATATGATGTGTTTTTGAACTGTTTGAAAGTTGTGGATACCAACATTGTTTTAAATTTATATGGATAATGGAATTTTTTCTAAAAATTATCCAATGTGATCGCTAGCTAGTTTTTTAGTCTACCATATATGTATGTAAAAGTATACTGTTGTGAAAATAATGCAATAGGCCATAGGGCACATTCTTAAAAACTGGTTAAAGTATTATCCACAATTCTTTTCTATCCTTTACGCGTCAATTACATCAGTCATTTAGAAAGTGATACGAATTCGCACGTTCAGGAATGCAAATTGACTTGTGCGTCGCAACACGCTTGTTACCAGCTGAGCACGACACGCCCATTAATAAGAAGCTGTTAAAAGCAAAACATGTTGAGCTCGATTCAAATTTAGACTTATATACAAGTAGGTGCACAATAACTTACTCATGCCCCACTTCAATTACGAAGTGAAGAAATTTCGCCTTTGCTGTGCTGACTCTGCAGATCAATTACCGGTATTTTCAACAACTAGTCGCCTAGACAGGTATGCAATTCGGACGAGCTAATGAAATAAATCAACAAACAAAATGAACAATGAATGAAGATAAACAAAAAATCTGATTTGGCCATGACTAAGCCAGTGTTTGGAAAAAGTAGAAAATTGGGAGAAGTGCAAAAAGTCGTAAGATAAGCAAATTATAGGAAGCTGAAGAGACAAAAAGGAGAAAATACCAGAAATAGCGCAGTGTAAAATTGAAACCGGTTTACGACACGCTTCCGCTGATGGACCGGGGTAACCATGGAGTTGAGTTATGTTAAAGAGTATGACACGTATTTATCTGTATTTACTGATGTTTATGAAAATGTGAAATGACAAGAAGTCAATATTTAAAGATATTTTTTTGGCGTTCATTTGGAAAAATTTGCAAAAATATATTTGGAATAGTTTGAAAAGCAAACAAGGGACATATTGAAGAAAACAAAAACAACGCCCCCAAAATTGCCGAATGTGTGAGTTGTAGCTTTCGAATTCAATTCTTGCATTGCCTTGAAAGGTAGTGATTCACGCGCACACATTTCGTACGCAAATGTAAATGAGGGATTTTTTGCGGTCAGTTTATATATTATTAAAAATTGCTGATGGCTATTTGCTGGTCACTTTAACTGAGAGTTAACGGCACAGTTATAAATTTGCGTGCCCAAATTAATGCATAAAAAGAAAATTCATACATTTCTGAGTAAAATTTTGCGTTCACGATTAATAAAGTCGCCATTTGTAAAGCTACATCGTACATATGCATGAGTATAATAATTTTCTATATTCGAAACTAAGTAATATCTCGGATTATTGTTAATATCTCGGATTAGAAGAATGTATGTGATTTAACAAAAACGATGTCACTATCGAAATGCTTTTCGTCTGGGTATAATATGATATTAATTCCAGAGAAACAAAGCGACAAAATTCGAATTATTAAAAACGAATGTGAATAGAGAAAATGAGAACACGCCGGACGTGAGTGAGCATAGAAAGGGCAGCGCAAATTTCTGAAATGTCAGCTATGCTGAATGCTAGTGTAGGAGTAGGATGGAGACCTTCGAAGAATGCTCAAATGGATAAGTTCTTGCAAAATATGTCGAAGAATGCAACTAAAGTATGGATGTATGACTTTCAAGTTTACTATACTCTGACAGTTCAGATATATCTGTAACATGATACGAGTTTAACCAAGTAAGAATGTTGTTTAAGAATTAAAAAATATCAATAATAAACACAGGCCTTTAATGAGCCCAACCGATGCGAAGGGCAGCACCCGACAGACTAGTCCTGAAAGTGTGACATATTTCGTGCGGAATTAGCCGTCATGAAGGGCAAGATAGTTTTTTAAACGTCGAGATGTAAAATTGTTCAGCTTTAGAAACATTTTTTTATTGGTGAAAAATGAATCTGATGAATTAAATGGTCGCTTTAATCCAAAATTTGATGTACATAATTTTTACAGTGAGATACTTACATTTTTCGTTAACTCAGCTCTACAATAACAACATTTTTTGTTGCCCTGAATATCTTAGTAAATCTTGATGTTTTCAAGTGCCCAGATTAACATACGTCCTTATTCATTAAAACATTGAATGTGCTCTTGTTTTTAAGATAAATTTACATATAATATTTTGATAGTTATCAGCACCTTTTTCGCGTATGCAAACATTACGTGATCTTCACTCTCAGGCTTATCAAATATATGCGAAAAATTATCCGGAAAGTTTTAAAGTTTTACCAAAAATCAAACGTGGCTATATCTAGAGTTACAGTCTACAAAATGTTCTGTTTTACGCAATGAAAATTTCAAAAGTAATTCACATGGACTACTCAGAAAAAATGAGGTCACCAAATACCCCGACATCGATATAGACTACCAATTGAAGTGAATAAGAGAATGAATCATAATGAATATAAAGGTTGTTGAGGTTGGTATATGATGGCAGCTTACCGTTGGTCCTTAAATTTTTTTTAGTTTATAGTTTCATAAAATGTGGACATAAATATATCCAAAATCTATTGTATACCTAGGGCAAAAAACCTATGTAGACCAGTGTAATCGGTCAGTGATAATAAATTTAACCTCAGTCATGAGAAAAAACTACAAACTGATTCATTCAGGAGCTTCACTAAGAATATTACGCCAAGCATTTTCTAATCCCCTAAGGCAAAAACTATATATTTTTTTTGGACAGAGTCTAAATTGTCAGAATGGATTTGGTAACTAGGTTTCTACGCCACGTAGTCATATACCAGCCTAGGCCTAATCAAACTTGAAAAACGAGTTTTAATACCATACGGATCTCTAAATTCTTTAGACCATCGTTAAACAAAACTGAGAGAACCTGTAGCTTTCAAAATTATTGTATTAATATGAAGACTAAAATTTATGGATCCTGAGAATAAAAAAGCATTTAATTTCACTCTTTTCAAGGAGCTTTTATTTTAGAAAATCCAACGTTGGGCTTGTGTTGAGCGTCAACTAGCATATAATGAAATTGGCGACAGCCTCTATGGCTACCTGAATTGATAGATATTTAAAACTCAGTCTGGCTGTAGCATATAACTGCCATGTAAAATAACCTATCAAAATCAAGCCCTTGTAGCGAAAACTTTTTTATTTGACCAGGTATCTTAACGAAATTTGGCGTAGATTGTTACCCAAGGCAACGGTATTATCTCCAAACATATTATTCAGATCAAACCACTATAGCATATAACTGTCATTCAAACTGAAGGATTGAAATCATGATAAATATTTTGTATGCCCTTTTATGCTGTAAGATATGCACCTGTTAATGGTATTATAGTTTCTGTACAGACGAATTTTTTTCGACTTTTCTTGGTTTTGATTGTAAAGCGTTCTTCAGATTTCCCTCTAAGTCACTAAGCTGTATCTGGACTTACAGTTATTAAATTTTTAATGTCTCTAAGGCTTTTACAATTGAAATAAATCCAAAAATGTAGTAGTAACCTAGTTAAACACAAACTACACTTAATAACGTTATAAGCAAGAATTATTACCGTTAAAAGTAAGGCATCTACTCAACATACATTTCCCATTTAAATAATGAAGCTCCATGATTGCTGCAATAAATTTTGGTTTTCCCATCCGCTACCAAACAACTTAGCTGAGATTAAACTAAACATTTTAAACAAAAGAAAGCGACTTATTTTTGTCATAAAATGTCTGAGGGTGAAAACCTTGTGTCCCATTAAAATTTAAAAAAGGTTCGAGTTACAATATTTTAATGATTTTTGTAGGTTTTAATTGTATATATAATTATCTAAATATATTTTGATGCATATCTCTTAAAGTATCAGGTAGTTGAACAGAATCCCTAAGGGTTGCCAAAACTGTTTAGTTTAATTGGTACGGCTGATGATTTAAAAAAATTTGTGTGGTTAGTATAAAGAAATTTAGTTGGGCAAATTAAAGGCTTGTTACATAATATTCATTCTTCTTTGAAACCTAACTCAAAATCAAAATGTAAATAAAGCCTAAGTTATATGTATACGCAAGTATATTTCGTGTATTGATCTATATTTAAGGGATTAGTAGGTTTGAAAATTTGGAAAACTCGATTTATTTTTGTCGTATTAATGTTTAAAATATTCTCTATCCTATGTATCTTTGATATGTTGATTGTTTAAATTAAATATGTGATCGTATATATTGAAAAATATAGTATGAATACTCTTTTTTGAACCCATGGAACCCACCTAACTCCTTGATATACTTAGTTAAATAACTGTTATATTTATGAGGAAATGTAGGGAAGCATGTGTAAAACAAAATAGTCTGTTGTGCTCAAAAGGCTCTGAGGTAAGTAGGTGTAGTTCGTTTGCTCTCATTTTCGAACCATAGTAATTTTCATAAAGTCGGAACTTCGTCTCCTTCTCCTTTCTAAAATTTTATAAACCGCATAAGTTATTATATCACGTATAAATTTCAGTTTCGCATATAAAAAAAAAACATGTACAATAGTATTATGAAAAGTATTGCCCATTTGAAGCTATAACGCTTTCCCAACTTCCTAGTAATAAAATAAAAGAGCTCCAACATGAAGTCGATGGTTGTCATTATGAAAAATTATTGCCTCGTGTCTAGTCGCAAATTTCGTGCATTCTTCGGCAATTGCCCGCATAAACTTTATAAGTTCACATATGATGTTTTGCCTATAGGGTTGACATAATGGTCACTATCTGATGCAAAAACGATTTCTTTTTGTAGCGTTCAAGCAGAATTTCTGACATGCAATATCGTCTTTCAATGTCTCTTGGCTTCAAATTGCCACCCAATTTTCTTGTTTTTGAAAATAACGTTTTAAAATGGCTGTTCGAGTGACTCTCAAAGATTATGCAAGTGGTTCTTGTGTTTCGCACCAATCATCAAGTAATGTTTCCAGTTCCTGATCTTCAAACTTTTGTAGCTGTTCAGGACGTTCTAAATTTTCCGATTACCTACCCTCCTAAGTTTTTCAATTACAAACAAAGTGTAAAGGTATTTATCGATATACATTTATAATTTATCTCTATTGCACCGATCAATTTCATCAATTAAATATATTGTAGTCACTTGAAGCACAGTAAATAAAAGCTATTAAGCTGTAGAGTTCTAATTTATAGAGTATACTAAAGATACACTATTTAATACCCGCCATCTTTTGCAGTTAAATTATCACACATCTGAAATCCGTGTATTAATAGATAAAGGCCATTCTTGATCGATTTGAAGTCGGCTGTGAAAAATATACATAGTTTCTATTGAGAGCTGTGTTCAATTATTGAATAACAAGAGATATACGAGTAATATAGGCAAAAGTGTAGCATGATCTTCCACTATAATTCAGCGAAAATATGTTCGAAATATACTCAATTCTTAACCTTAACAGCAATCTCAACCTAGCCTAAAAAGGACTTTATTCTACTGGTGGGTGTGAAAGTTTAAAATTAAGCCAATGCTATAACCACGAATAAGTGAAATTTAAGCTTAAGAAACTACCACTCCTTTGATACTGTGAACAATTGTTTGATAGCACAACTTGAATTTACTCGGCACCAAAATATTTTTTGTATACATATACTTTCTTTGAAAGAGATAAAAAAACCATGAATTTAAAATAAATAATTCTCCGGATGAGTGCTTTTTTACATATGTTAATTTCTTTCAGTTAAAATTTTTTCAATTCTTATGGAACTTTTGCTCAAAGAGATTAATATGATTTTAATGGTGAGTGCATATGAGCTAAGTAAATGCGTGCGAGCGTATGAATTTGTAGGGTATGTCGATTTGTTAACGTTTCTGTTGATTATTACTTTTTCACGACACATTAACAACACGCCGCGCTCGTCAATCACTTAAAACGGCGCGCCGATGAAGTTGAACGCATTGTTAGCGTCATCGGCGCCGACGTCCTAATCACCAACACCAAGCACTCACAATAAGAATGAGTTGCAATCGAGCGGCCAAACGCTGCTTCGTCTATTCACCGATCGCAATGGCAAGCGCGATCAGACTCAAGTCAACAACAACAATAACAACAAGGTGAAATATAATAACATTTCCAGCGTTAAGCGAAAACAATAAAGCTTCTCAAGCAACGCTGTTGGCATTGCAAGTATTGCTGCTGTTGTTGTTGCTGATAGTGTTTTTTTCTTTTGTGTGTTTGCAATCGTCATTAACATTGCGAACGAACGTTGGTTGCCTTAACTGCGCAGAGCGTAGGCAAAAGGCATATAGGACAAACGGCGGTGAGCGGCGAATCGCGGCGTTTGCTTCGCCGTTGAACTTTCAGATACAGTTTTCTTACGGATCGCACTTCAGTCTTGCAACGGACGGCGAACAGCGCATAAATCGGTGCGCTTCCCGAGTAGCCACGCGTTAACTGTGCTATCTTGCTGATTTTTCAAATAAAATTGCGCATTTTCATAAAGTATTGGTGCGTTTTAATTACGAATTGGAAAATAAGTGATCGCATTAATATTGCAATTGATGCAATTAATTGTGTTGCATTATTGATGAGTGTTGATTGAAAAGTGAACGTGAAAGTGTTTGTGTGTCGATGTGTGCGAGAAGTCACCGCGCGCACGAGTGCGTTGCATTGACGACCGCGAAACTGGTTGATCCATAGCGCGCCGGAATGGTTGAGCGCAGGCGCGCGGAACTCTTAACCGTCAACCGTCAAGTGGCAGCAGCAGCATCAACCAACGAAATCACTGTGGCTGTCATCGCGCGTTACTTCCCAATCTTTACTTTCATCTTAGATATTTGCCACAATGTATATACATACATATGTATACATATTAGGTACACTGGTAATATGAATGAAGAAAATTAAAAAAAAAAATTGAAAATAACAAAAAAAAACATTGTGTGGAGCTGAAGTGCTGAGTGAAGCTATGGTAAATTGACGAGATTACTATCACTGATCCGCCTGAACCAAAAAACAACAATTAATTGAAAATCGGTGACAGCAGCTGTCACTTTCAATGCGCTTACAGCAATAATAATCTGCTGTTTAGCTCATCTTGTACGTACACCTGTAAATATGTATTTCTGCAATAGAAAAGTCAAAAGCGCATAAATACCTGTTTTGTGAAGTTTTGTCCATATTTACATGAACTGAAAGTGTCCACACAATTGTTTGTGCAATAAAAAGGGCAATATTCATGCGCACTATATACTTTCACGTAAAAGTGTAATTCTTCTTCTTCAGTCTGTGGTGTTTGCATACGCTTCTGTGAGTTCAATAAAATTTCCATATACTTTTCTACAAGAAATAAAAGCCACTGGTGTTTGGAGTCATAATTGTGCTGAAAACCGCACTGTGTTTAAATTGTGTTCTTGTTCATAGAAGTTCGCTTTAATAATTGCGAATGTGAGTGTATAGTTTTCAAAAAGAGTTTTTGTGTAATTGAGTTGACGTAATCGCCGTAGTGAATGAGCAGCTGAGTTCTTTGTATTTTGCTGTGATTTTTTTGCCCTTGCCTGTAATAGGAAATCAATTATTCACAATGTAAGTATATAACATATATAATATTCACTATATATTGTACAGTATACTATATATAAGTGCACTTATCGTCTATCTTGTAATTTTCGATTTTTTGAATTTTTCCTATACCTCCACTGGTCGTAATTGATCGATACATGCCCAAAGTTTCTAATTCTGAGAAGGTGTGGGCGAAGCGTGCTAAAAAATCTTAATTTTTCCTAAAACTTAACTACTGCTATTTTTTTTATATTGAACATTAAAAAAAATTAAATCTAAAAAGGTTTCGTAATTTTTTAAAACACGATTGAGTCTATGGTCGATTTTTGATTTCTGTCTGAAATCATGTACCATGGTTACCAACGAAGAACAATTTTAAACCTAAAATAATCTAAAAATCAATTTTTTTTCCATATATTTAAATCCTTATGAGTTCATTTTTGAAAATTTTTCCTACAAGTATATCAAATTGTTCGAACTAGCTACAAGTTTCCATGGTCTCTGATTAATGGTCTAAATATTACAAAGTTTAAAATAAAGGGTCAAATAAATTTATAAATCTTCGTTCCGAATTTCACTAACAATTTTTGTTACATTTTGTAGACGTAATTATCTTCACGAAATTTGGCACAGATTATTGTTCAAGGTTGATAAAAACTAAGGAAATGTGTCCCGTTTTTGATTTCTCTGATTTGTGCGCTTACCAAGTAGAATCTACTGTAATGCAGTAAGTTGGAAATTAAAAACAACAATTGAAATCCAGGAGAAATCGGCAGTCGAAGCCCGGTTTTGTCACCTAGATATAGGCGGATACTATCAACAGAAAAATAGCACAGTAGTAGTAATTATCCCAACATCAAGCGTATATCTGCAATGAAAAATATCCCAACTAATTCATTAATGGGCCAAATTCGTCTTAAAATTTGTAGATCCCTCAATTTCCTGGATAAAAAGTCGGCCATCTAGGAGTTGAATACTAGTGCCGACATTTAGGAGCTATATTAGGCTATTTTTAGCATTCAACTAACATGCATAAACTAGTGCCGTCGTTTGAATTTCCAAAGGAAATTTGGGATAAAAATAATTTCTCAAATACCCTTTCCAATTCACTATGTCTCTAGTTTTTACTCTCGTCGATATCAAATAATTGTACCAAGATGGTCAGAGGGATAAATATAATAGAGAGAAGGGCTCAATGTTAAATGTATTATTGTGTCGTGTCTTATGGAATTTATACTCTCGCAATTCTTGATAAGCTTGATAAGCTATATAGCATTAATTTTAGCTTCAATTCTCTGAAGCGCTATCAATTTGTGGATACATTTATATATACATGAAGACATACACATGCGACGATGTACCCTGCAGGAACATTTTTCAATTCCGATCGGACCTTGTTTTAAGGCATTGTAACTATTACTAAATCGTTGTATCAACTAACCAGCTTTGAAAATCGCGAAGAACATCCGAACTTGCTTAAACTGTTGCTAGCCGGAAGTACATCTTAATATTGGTTGGTGAATAGTCTCAAAGCGATAAAAATTCGTTTTATTTCAAGTAGGCATCGATAGTCATGGATTTTCGATTCCGTGTTTTGTGGATAATTTAAATATACATATATTCTCCTTGTAGCCTTGTATAATCTGCTGAATTGATCTCAATATTTGTTCAATCATCATTACTTATTTATAATACGCATATTTTATAGAAATATTTAATACAGAGCCATATATTTATTTCAAATTTAGTTCAAAATAGCTTATCAAGGAAAATACATATAAGCTATTAACACACAAAGTATAGTGCTGATATTTTAAGTATTTTAAATTTCACTTTACGCGACACCGGACGGTGTTTCCGCTTTGCAATAACTTTTTAATCATTTTACAAAATTTCTGCCGTCATATTTATGAATATTCGCTGGGTAATCGAAATTTAGTTTTTATATACCTAAGCATTTATCGTCGGTACGAAATTAAGTGGCTTGAGCATACTTTAGCAAAAATCGCTTTGTACCATTCTCTATGTATGTATGTATATTAGTGTGAAAAATAAACGACTTTTTCACTTGGAAAATCTCTCCAAATTGTAACGGGAAGGTCCTCCGTCATACAGTTTTATATATTTTCTAATTATCAGATAGAAAAATTCATATCTCGTTTCCAACTACTTGAACAAATATCTCGTTTCATAGATTTGTATGAAATCGAATGCTACAAACCGGTCATTGCCGATTACTTTAACGCAAATTTTTTTCTTATGAATGGCAATGAAAAATAGAAAATCAATTTCCAACATCGGCCGATTTGTGTGGTATAAAGTCCAAAAAAGTTTGGAAATCTTTATATATTGGGCATATGGGGGCTAAGGAAAGTATTGACCCAATTTAATCTATTTTGGATTATCAAATAAACATTTCCCCGCATTTCAATAATATAGCCATACGCACATTAAGTTCAAAAGTATAGCCATACGCACGGGGGTCCACATATACGGTATGTGGGCGTTGAACAGTTTTGATCCAATTTTGACAATTTTTAGATTTGAGATTTCATATATTAATAGGTGCTTGATTTGTGTATTGATGATATCACCCAAATATGGGCGGTGCCACGCCCATCGTCTCCCATAAAGCTCTCTTGTAACATTAAGTTGTAAAATTTAAAGGCTCTGGTGAATTTGGTTATATATTTATCCCGTTTTTGTAGTTTTTAACAAAACCGTTATATGGGGAGAGGGCGGGGCTATAATCCGATTTCATCAACTTGAACACTTGCATTTGGTTATTCTAGATTTAGTGGTTTAAGAGATATGTACATGAAGCCTGTAAAAGGCGGACCCCTCCCAGCTCGTCCTCACTGGTTTGCCAACGAACACGTGTACAAAGTTTAGTTACCATATTTCACGTTTTACTCACGCTACAGCTTGCACGGACAGACGGACGGACGGACGGACGGATAGAAACACATTCGGTTTTCAACTCGTCTCGTCACATTGATCATTAATACATAAGTAAACCTATACCTATCTTAATTATTTTTAGGTGATACAAACCCATTAGGTGAACAAAATATATTATACTCTGTAGCAACAAGTTTCAAGAGTAAAAATATTCGTTTCTTTTGATATAAATAGTAAAAAATGAATGTACACAAAAAGGGGGAAAAAGCATATAAAGGCAATAGGAAAAGCGCAATTGAAATCACCAACAAAAGTCAACTTTTAGAATATATGAATAAAACACGTAGGAAGTGCGAAGTTTGGATGCATCCTAATTATTTCCCCTCATTCCCTCCCAGGCCCAGACGGTCGTACTTATGCCACCGTTAAGCCTATTGCATAAATCACTTATTTAAATGTAAGTATTTTTGGGGTGTCTGGAATATCACGTTTACCAAAATCGTTATCATATCGATAATTTAAAATTTTGTAAAATTTTTCTCACATGGAGGGGTTGGCTTTGGCCAAATCTTACGCATTTCTCCTATAGTAATTTCCAATACTAAAGACTAAGGTCATGCAGTCTAGATTAGTGTTTTTGAGTATATTTTAATAAAGCCGTTTATTGTTTGTAACAATATTTCTACTCTTTCGAAGCGTCAGGAATGAACCAATTAAGTTTTATTCAGAGATTTAAATTGTCATTCCATTTCTCCGGCTCCTAGAGAAATGAACGAACATATATTCTTTTCCCCAATTTAACTAACATATTTGTAGTTTTTGGTTCCGCAAGCAACTTTGAGGTAATAACAAAATTTTTATACTCTTGAGACACGTCATGCGGTAGTGTAGAGACGACTCCTTCAGTAAGCGCTTTTGATGTTCATTGACACTATATTCCATACTTGCATTAACAGCTGACATATCTTTGATAAATAATATATAACTGCACATTTATATTGGAGTGTTTATATCTGCAATTAATGAGTCACCAATATATTAATAAAATAAAAAAATTTTACAGATAACAGTTTATTTGTGAGTAAAAAAATGTCAACAACGAGTCAGAAAGCCCAACTATTTTTGTGAACTTCATATCTGTTGTTAAACAACAGTAACGGAAGTAAAATAATTATTATCTCTTTGTAGACTTACTTTTACTGGTATGGATAACTTACTGTGTCTGCAATGATGCTTACTCCAATCTCTCCACACCAGAAATGTGTGCTCTGAACAAACGCAATCATAAAAATGTTTTTGTTTAAATTTTTCAAATAATTTATCACTATATAAATGTAGCAAAGAAAACAAAATGTACTTCTTAAATGTTTTATAATGGTCTAGGTATGATCTCATCTCAATCCTTCACATTTGAATGGTTATTGGGTTACTTTTCAAAACTTAAATGTTTCAAAATTTAAACTTTTTTGTATTTTGGCCATGAATGTCGATAGGTTTCTGCTAACTGAAAGTCTCTAATAATGTACGTATATTATTATGGAAAATATGCTAAATATTTACATATAATTGGTGCCATCACTTTCGCATGTTGCGTAAGAATCCAATATGCTTTATTCGAAGAAACCGACTGGAAGCAATCAAAATCATCAAATATCTTACTAACTTATGTGTATTATAGGTCGTAAAGTCACTTAGTTTCATTATTAACCTAATTAACTCACTTGAGATGTAAATATTGTTATGTAAACTGAATCAAATAGAATCAACCTACTGTATTGAGTATATGAGGTTATACTTGTAGATAAGTATTCGGAATTTATTATATTTGGGATATGTATTTTAGACCAAGGTTTGGACCGATTTTATTCATATTCTGCGTTCGGCCACATTATGGTTAAGTAATCCCTTTTTACCAAAATAAATGGTTTAAAGTCAGTTGGAAAAATCAAAATGGCTAGACTATATTGTGTATATTAGGGCAAGGAGAAAATCTGAACAGATTTCATAACATTTTGCCATAACACAAGTAAACTTGAGAACATTTTTTACCTCGATTTTATCAAGCTAACTTATACAATGACCAAAATATTCGGTATAAAATCTGCTAAAATTACGAAAATCTT